ATATTTGCTCCTGATAAGCCTTATCAAATAAGCTCTTTCCGCTTCTCATACAGCCTGACAGTGCCCTCTCGTGCTCGCAGGCCTGGCGGCAGCGTGGTGTTTCATGTGCTGCCTGGGATGGATGCTCAGCCAGCCTTGGCTGCTGGAGTGGCAGTGGCTCATGCCAGCAGTGGGTGTTAGCCCAGAATCCTCGGGGCTCATCCTTGAGTTATATCATGTTTCTTTGCAAAAGAATGCAACGCAGGAGTGTGACATACTTATTTGTCTGTTCTAGTAAATGTGGCTGGTTTTTACAATGCTGTTGCCTAATATTCCTTGACAGACTTCTCCAGGAAATGCCTGGAGCATTCACCTGTCTGTGCTTTGTTACACCGTTGATTTCTCAATCCAGCATGTGCAGAATAGGTAACACCGATGAGCAGCCACGCGTCTTTTGTTCACCTTCTCCCCCCAAAGATACAATGATCAATTTTGTTTTGCCTGGGTTTATGTTGCTGAATGAGTGTTCAGCTGCCAAGTCATCCCTTTTTCTCTAAATGCCAGAGAGCTTCAGTTGCTGTACCGGCACCTGAAAGCCTTTGGCATTTTGGGGTCACTGGTTTGGACTTGCTGTCAGTGCTAATATTATTTGACTTTCAAAATTAGGTTTTAAGCCTTGTGCAAAGCTACATGTGGCCAGGATGTTTAACTGCAGTGTCCATGGTTCATAAATTCCACCCACCAAAACCCAACAGCTAATAGTAACGAAACCCAAAATGGGGGTGATGTATATACATGTAAACAAACACATCATCTCTGTCTTTGGAAGCAATTAGTGAGCAAGATTTCAGTCCAGCACCTGGGGCCAAAATAGCAAGACTATTTTTAACATGTTGCTTAAGCTAGAAGCAAGTCTTCCCAGTGGGAAAGCATTAGTCAGAAAAAACATGCAAAGATGAAACTGAAAAAAAAAAAAACCCAACAAAAAAACACAACCCCCCCAAAATTGCTCAAAGCTGTGAATGCATCCCTGAATGTATTTGTGGGCAGATAGGGAACAATTTGTAAAAGACTACCAGATCCACTTTGAAAGGGTATTTACATTTGTTAGGAAACTCAAAGTAACAGGGAATGAATAAATGGGCTGTTAAATACAGGAAGAAAAAGGAATGACAAAATAGATGATTCTCAATGTTGGTTAAATATTAACTCATAAGTGTCATCAGTCCTTGAACTCGGTGTCAGAAATCTCTATGCTGGTTTTAGGTAGCAGTATCTTTTGAAGTGTAGAACATAACTTAAGACAGTAATAATCGCTTGTTTATGTTTCAAAGTTTCCAGCAATAGCAGTTGTATGAAATACTAGAAAGTGATGCTGAAGCCCATTTCTGTACTGGTGTGTGGCTTATGGGCATACACAATGGCAAACATAGAAGCCTATGCTTTATTGTTTCACTGTTTCGGATACCTGCACCTCATTTCCAGAATGCAAGTGATGATTTGTGAGGCTGAGCCCATAAGGAATGGGGATATGGATACGAAACTTTTCTCTTATTACTTGCCCTCTCTGCTTTTGGTACCTCTGACCCCCACTTCCCATGTGGAAGGGTGGCTTAGCAATGGGAGCGATTCTGTAGAAGTGCTGGGAAGAGATGCATGGCCTCAGGCTTTGTTCTCAGCTGTGACAGGGCTTTTGAGATATGATAGCTGGAAGCACACAAAAGCTGGGACCCACCACTGAACACAAGGAAAAATACTTTGGCCTGATAATGATGTTGAAGACTTACTTTAAACGACCCACAAAAGCAAAACAGTGCTCTTGAAATGTTCTCCATGAAGATATCTGTCTGTATTTGCCATGTGACTCAGATTCAGCAGGGATGGGGAGCAGATGGGAAGAGCTGATGACAGCTTAGGACAGGCTGGACTGAAGGAACTGAGCTTCCCTAGAAATTCAGCAAGAAATACTGCAGAAAACAAAGAAAATAAAGGAGGTGAATGTGGCTTGGGAAGTGTTTAAGATCAGATTGCAGTAGGCAAGCACTTCGCAAATGGGACGGCGAGAAGACGGAAAGATGCCAAACAGCTTTGAAAGAGAAGGGCTTCAAGGGGTGAAGGCAGGGAGCGGTGCACATGGGCAGCGGGTAGGGGTAGGAAGAGCACTAATGGTGTAACGCAGCACCTTTGATTTTGTTGTGGATAAACCTCTGAAACTTCACTCCTGGGACAGCAGTCAGCAAAGTCACACCCAACTTAAAAACCAGTGCACGCTTGTAAGCAGGTTATGGGCATGAGTTAATTGAAAACAGGTTTGCAGCTTGGTGCACATGGGCAGAATCACAGTGGAAAGATCAAGGGAGAGGAATATTCCCTGCTGCTCCTGGGGTGTGTATTCCAGACCACGGCTGGCTGCACGCACAAGCAGAGTGGGCTGCTACCTGGAGGGCAGGTTGTCTGCTCTGCTTGTATTAGAGGCAATGGGTTTTGACAGAACAGCTTGTTCCTCTCCGTAGCCAGGCTCTCCCTCCCGTGTGCAGGGGCCTTTGCTGATGGATGGACGGGGATGTGTGGGTGGCAGCTCCTCCTGTGAGCGAGGGACTAGCATCGGCCCTCCCAGCCGCAGCGCTAGTCACTGCCCTGCTTGTGTCACAGCCTGGGCTGCAGGAGCAGCAAGTTGAGGTCTTCAGAGCCCCACGCTGGTCTCTGCCTCAGCCATGTGGGCAATGGCCAGGGAGAGGTGGAGTGAAGAGGAGCTGGTGAGCTGGGAGGAGGAGAATCTCTTGGCTCTTCTCGAAGTCCCCCTGAAATATCTGCTGACCTCCAAACCCGCACTTCCTTGCCTACAGATTCTGACTCACCGTCAGTTAACCTAGCGTGACATCAAGCCTTTTCTTATGTAACCCCCTGACTGCTCAGCTTGCTTTCTGCCTTCTCCCAGGCTTTTATCCCTTCCTCAGGCCTCTTGGCTACAGCCCTAACCCAAGGCTTTGCTGAGAAGTCTAAAGCCAGTTCTGTTGGGAAAGATATTCTTCAGTAGAGGCACTGGTATCAGGCAAGGTGCCAATGTGTCTTCCTCTTCCAAGTGACATTTTTGTGGCATTTGTGTACGGAGGGCAAAAGCAAGGGTTAATGCTCTGACAGGCGAAGGGCAGTGGATTAGGAGTATGCTGTATCTGCAGTTAAACAGATCTTCCTGTCCTCCCTCTATTATTATTATGGTTGTTATTACAGTCATTTGTAGGGCATCTAAGTGAAGTTCATCCAGAATATAAATGCTTGAAATTGAGGAGCGAGGCAGAAGAAAACATTAAGATTTCCAAGTGGAGATGACCTCTGTTGCTCTCTGAGCTCAGACTATTTTTGGCAGGAGCAGAATGAAGAGAAGGCTTGCCTTGGAAAGAAGGCGGTGCAGCTGCCAGCCCCTGTAATTAGCCAGAAGGCCCGCAGAGTGCGGGGAGGAGGTCACAGAGCACACGGCTCCTGCCGTGGCGCTGCTCCATCCAGAGCAGAGCCCGCAGGAATGTAAAGCCTAGCCAAAGCCCGGGTAGTGCAGCTGATCCCATGCAAAGGCCAGAACCATTCTTCTGGGACTGATGAGTCTGCTCATGTATAGTGTGCACCGTAGAGGGTGGACAACGCTCTCAAGTCTTTGGGGCGGGAAACGTATCCTCTGTGTATGCACAGAGGACTGATTTGGTCCTTACCGGGTGCCTCCAAGCGTGCTCAGAGGTAGTAGTAATTCAGATAAGCTAGAACCTTGATGACCCAAATTGCAAGCGAACTTCTGAAATGTAAAATAATGGAATTTGTAATTTCTATAATTGCTTAGTGTCACTGCAGAGGAAAAGGAATTACAGCAGGCAAGATTTCTCTGGCAACCTCTGGGTCAGTGAATCTATCTTATCTCTTTATATATAAGTTCCAGACCTGCCAAGAGCCTATGTGCGAACTATTTTCTGCTGAGAATTGAAACTGAGCATAAGGGTTTTTTTTATGAAGACTTAATTTTTTCACATGTTTTTATCCTGTCTCTTGTCCTCCAAGGAAGGTAATCAAGGAAACAAGACACCAAAAAAAAAGTGTTTGTCAGGATTTTTACTACAAATATTTTCCCTCCATGATATTTAATAGGAAAACCACATTTAATTTTTCCTAAAGCAATTCATTCATCGATATAGGTTGGGTTAAGGATGTAAAGAGTGAGTATATTACACTCAGGAGTCACATGGTGATAGACGTGGGCTTGATATCAGAGGCTAAAGATAAAAACCTCCTTTCCATGGCAATATTCCCTACTTGCTGCTTTCCTCAATGGGCAGCAGCACAGCAGTGTATTTGTATACTCCCCAGAAAAGCTGGATCCAGAGCCAGTTCCTGGCCTGAATGTTGTCTGTTTCTAACCAAGAGCAGCTTCTCTATAGAAAAGAAAGCCAAGTGAACATGCAGGTAATAGGTGAAGATGTATTTCAGCCTGCTTTACTCAAGGTATGGAGCTCTATGCTAGTTCCACTGCTTTCTTTTTTTAATTTCTTTCTGTCTCCATCTCTGTTCAAGCAGTGGGGAAGTTCAGTTCCTCAAGAGCAGCTTGACTTGTGGGGTCTCTCAGCTCCTCATTAGCTGATGGAGTTAAACAAAGTGGAAAACTCTCTGGGACTTTAAAATAATGATGTGTGCTTCTTGAGAGGCATTTCCCATCGCTTCTGTATTGGATTTCAGAAGCATTTTAGGTAACAAATCTATTTCTCATGGGTCCTGTTGTGGTTATTTTATTTCCATGTGGATAGATTTGTTTCACAGGTCTGTTTTTGATGTCTGCATGAGACAGCTGAGGGGGGAGGAAAAAACCTTGTACAGGAGAGAAGATGCAAAAGTAACCATAATGATCTAGACAACTAAGATGTTTCCTCCATAATTTTTTTGTGAGTCATCATATTCTAAACTGCACGGGCTATGGCATGGATTGGCATAGACTTTGATACTAGTCTTCATTCACTCACTTCAAAACTTTTCTTTAAAAACCTTCAACACTTTTTTCTGGTCTTCACAACTTTGCTGTGATATCTGACAGGGATGCCAGATGGCCCAAAGAGATAAACATCAAACAAGTAAAGTGTCCCTGCATCCAACCCTTTGATGGTCTCTGTGGTGACGGCTCGCTGGAGATTTATATCATAGAAATACTTGCACAGCACTTTCTCTGACTTGTGCCGAGATTCAGGCCCAGAGCACCTGTCCGCGCTTTGCAGTTCCGTCCAGACGTGATCTTCTTCAATCCTTTTCTTGTACACACAGTACTTGCTATCCTCTTGTGTTCCTAGCCAGGCGATGGTGACAGAGTTGCAGGTCCTCAGTTTACTGAAGGACTTGATTTTCAAGCTCTCTGGAAGAAGTGGGAATAAGGGCTTGTGGAAATGGGGGGACACCTGTACTTTCACAGAAGAGTTAGACTCCTCTGTGGACCTCAGCTGCACCAAATATGTGTCCAGCAGCTTTCCCTTCAGCAAGAAATACCTCAGACCCGAGATGTTTTCCGATACCACTGTTTTACCGTTCTTTGTTATGTGAACCCTTACTTGGCCACGACACAACTGAAAGGTGAACTGTATTTTCTTGTGCCTTGCCTGGTACTGCAGACTGTAGAATTTCTGTTTTTTCCCATCCAGGACAACCTGAATCACTTTCCCATCTTTCAGCTCCATCACCTTAGGTTCAGGTTCTTCCAGGGTTCTTGCAAATGTCCCGGTGTAAGCAGCGCTGGCATTTGTGAGAAGATTGACAACAAAAACGTCGAAGTAATACTGAGTGCTGGGACTGAGATTGGGCACTGTGTAAGTGTTCTTGGTTCCCATGCATATCTGCCTGACTTCCCCACTGCTCACCTTGTTAATGATGCTCAGTTCACTATTGGACAATATCATCACCTGCTGAGGTTCAAGAAGGTATGGAGAGAGAGACAAAGCTAATGCAGGTGGCAATTTCATTCCAGAGGATCTGATTGCTGTCTCAGCAGCACATAAACTCTTATAGTTGTGCTTTTCATTAACCAGAAGACAGTACTGGATGTTTTCTCTATGTTGCAAGACAGAGGGACTGTGTTTCCAGGTCAGAGTCACTGTTGTATGCCCAATGCCAATAACATCTATGCGTGGATCCATTGGAAGCTCTGGATAGAGGTGCCCAGATGTGTCAGTGGTTAAATACACGGTAATGTGTGTGTCTCGCTCAGTGGACAAGAACTCTAGCATGTAAAGGGCAGAATGAGAAGACATACCCATGTAAGTCTCTACAGAATTTCCCTTATAGTTAAAAATGGTGGACACCATGCTTGGAGCCTTCTGAGATTTTGAGACCTCTTGTGTATCATGATCACCTGCAGACAAAAAGCAGACTTGTAACTTTTGTTTTAACAGATGTGAAATAAAGCACATCGCATAGCTTTTGTTGTTCACGTGTCAGGGAACATCCCATTTTCTTCCTGAAAACAATAATTAGAACTAAAAATATTTTCGCTACTGGCAATTTATTAAAATAAATTTTGAGTAGCTTTTATTTTAGCAGTGCAGTTGTAGAATTATGTTTTCAAAAAGACTATAATTATAAAACCACAACTTGCAAAAGCTTGACTTGTATCATGTCTGATGTCCCTACAATTTTCTTCTTCCAATGGCTGTCTCTGAGTATTTTACTTCAAGGAGACTCATACTTTTTATGAAAGGAGTTTTCTTTGGTTTAGTTTTGTGCCATTGTCTCCTCTGAAGAGGGAAAACTTATGACTTCAAAGGAACATTGTTTGAACTCCTCGGTCAGGTGTACCTGCCTGACAGGTAAGAACTTGTTAATGGCAGCTTTCAGATTTTACTTTGAAAAATTAATTGAAAAAAATCACGAAAGAGCATGGAATTTCCTCTTAGGCTAAAGGCAGCATAATGCCCACTGCCATGGTAGATGGTATTCCTTGAAGAATAAAGGGCTAAATCTTCTCTGTGTCACTGTGGGGTGACCGGTTCAAGTGGCCGAAGCCACAGAAAAAGACCTGAGGCAGCAGAGGGAAGTTTGGGCCAGTACAAACAGCTTATGAAGCTGATCTGTGTTTGTGGAGCCCCAAAGACCCGGGGTTGTTCCCAAGTATTACCCTTAGATTTAGACTTTTTCCACATGTAATCCTCGATTTACTTGAGTTGAAGGCAAAAATCCCATGGGCTCCCATGTTTCACCCATGGAGACAGGGATGTCCTCTTCAGGCAATGGCAGTTTACAGGAGAGGGAAGCGTGAGATGTTTAAGCTTGTGGGGAATTTCCTATAACACAACTCCTTATGAATAACTTACGCTTTCTATGTCTCTGCTTAGGCAGAGTGAAGGTCTTACCTCGTGCTGCTTTTCCGAGGAAACTTGCTGAAGCCTTGTGCTCAAGTATGCTCCATTCAATGGGAACATCACAGGGGGTCACTGTTATTGTGAAAGGTGCAAGGGCTCTGCCTTCCTCCAAAACAAAGTAATACCTGTAGGTGTGGATTGTAATCAGCCATTCTGGTGTGGGTCACCCCACAGTGGGTAGAAATGACTGCTGGCCCTTGAGGTGATCAACACAACGGGATGGTGAACATCTGAAATCTTCAGCTGTGGGAAGAATATGTGCTGTGTTTTTTTTCTAATCCACAAATATTTGCTGGAGGTTTTATCCGCTTACCATAGACAATATTTTTCCCACTGAACTTTAACACATTTCACTTGAATATCGTATCTCAGTACTTACCTGGTTATTTTGGATGATGGATGTGATTAAACTGACTACCTTCTAGATAACCACCTGTTGGCTACTTCTGGGGAATTTGGTACACTTTTTTGCAGGATTTCCTGACTGGAGTTCAGTGAAAGCTCATAGAGCCTATCTTCCCTCCTGTGTGCTTGCACATCTAGGGCTTCCCGAGTGTCAGACGAAGTGCATATAATGGAATAGTTTTAGCCAGTCCTGAACATTATCAGTTGCCAGTGGCAGTTCCATCCAGGCCTGTTCTAACTTACTTGCCTTCATGACAGAGGCTGCGGTGCGGGAGCAGTACAAGGTGACATCACTCTACTCAGTCAGATTTTGGTTCTTGCTTAAAAAAGCCCAGCCTCCTGTCTCGCTCCTTTGGTCTTCTGTTTATTTCTGTTGTTTCGGTGTATATGGACTATATACAGCCACAGAAATGTTTGGACTTGGGTCGCTCACTCTGCAGTTAAATGAAGGCAGTTCAAGATTTTTTTTGTTCATTAGTGAGACTGGCCTAGTCATTATGGGTAGATCATGTCAGCCTAGAGGTCTGGCTTACTGTCAGGATATGGCTACTGGGCCAGAGTCAGGCTTCACTGGAAACAGTTCCACATTCTTGAGTCTTTTACTTTAAGCCAAAACTTGTTGGATGACACTGGGGTTCATAAGGTCCTTACCTCACCGTGCTAAACTGAAGGGGGTTTTGCTTCCTAATTGCAATCTTAATGTTATGCCACAAGAGCACTACAAAATTCACTTTTCTCTGGGATTTTGATACCCATTTGCCTTTAACAAGGATAGCTTTTAGTTTTGCTCTTGTGAGCATCGTCACATTATATAACATGTGCCATGTTCCAGTTTCTTTCTGTGCAATGCATATCAAGCCTGAACCATCTGCCTCACTCTCTGCTCCAGGACCACTCTGCTCTGGTGTATGTCAAAATCTGTATGTGTTGCTCACTGTCCAAAGTGGAGTCCAAATAAAGCACTTGACGTGCGTCTCTTCCCATCAAGCAGATCAGTCTTTGCTGCCTAAGATGCTGTGCCAGTTGTAATAGGTAGATCACCTACATCTCTAGATACGGCAGAACACTCTGCGGATATTTTGGGGAAGTGAAGAATCTGTAGAATTTCCACATGCAAAGCACTTTTGATCTTCACAAGCTTTAGTGCCGTTCAACAAAAACACTTCTAACGTGCGGGATACTGGCAGAAGTTTTTCTGATAAGAAGTCTGTGCAGATATTCTATTGATTTTTAGGATAGTTAATTTGCTGGGTGAAATTCTCGTGTCTTTCAGTGAATGTCAAGCAACTGTCTTTGCAGTTCTGAAACCAGGCTCTTTGGGACATGACTGTCTGCTGTTGCAGCCCACCCGTTCTGTATCAGCTCTGCTGCTGCTCTGACAAACACCACACAGAGAGCTGCCTGAAATGCATAGGTGAATCGAAACTTCATCTCAGAGGGTCACTCCAGATTATTGGCAATGTAATGACACTTGAGCTAAACAGCAGTGGGGCATTTCTTTGGAAATTCAGTGGACGCTGATAGAGCTCCGCAGGTGCACAGCAATTCTTGGCTTGTACTGGCAGCGTGAAGCTACCAGTGTCACAGGGAAGTATCTGAGAATAGGAGTGGCTGATTTGCTCTTACCTTTTAGGTATATCCTTCAGCAGGTGGATTGTCGTCTCCTTGCCATCAGCAAGTATCAGGGAGTGGTAGAAGTTGAAGAGAGCTGTCTGGAAGCTTTGTTGGGAACTGGTGGTGGGTGCTTTTATGGAATGACACAAGCAAGCCGCCATGAGAAGATGGAGAGGCAGATAAAACCAGAACCAGGACATCTTCAGTACTGCAAAGTAGGATGACAAAAGTGAATGGAAACTGCTGTCTTTGGGGAGAAAATAATCATTGACCCTCTCTTTCTGTGCCTTTCCTGATAGTTATCGTAATTGCAGCAAGCCAGGCATTCAAACAGTGCCAGTCTCCATTTTGCTAAATTGCTTAAAGTTCACAGATAAATATTTCTCAGGATTTCTCTGCAAAGATTTAATGGCAGAAGCTGCTATGGAGTCTTTTATTATAGAAAAATATAGTCAATGTAGCACAAGTGAAATATCACAAGACAGTTATGGAAAAAAAACAACTTTGCTGACAAAATGAATGGAGAATTACATTTAAAATATTTTTCCTAGTTTGTAGTGTTCACTTGCTAAATTTCAAGGCTGGGTTATTTGTAATGAAACTGTCACTTTCAAACTCATAGGAGGTCACTATATCCCAAATGCTACTTCTGCTGTTCTGTCAGAGACCATTTAATTTTTTTCATCCATGGTGACTGTAGGTATGCGTAGAGAAGAGGATCAGAATAACTTATTCAGAGCAGTGTAAGACACTGTTTGATGAAAAGTGAAGCATCCTAGATAAGAATCCCTAAACTGATACTTACACTAAGAGCTTAAAATCTCCTATCTCATTTGGAGGAAGGCTTTATTACTGTAGGGCAGTTGGATAAATCATTCTGAGATTTTTGTGTTGCCCATCCCTTTCTCATCTGCATCACTTACAGCCCATCTCAGCATTTGCTGCTTACTGGAACTGTAACAGTTCTGTTGTATTCACTCCGATAAGAGATTAAAAAAAAAAATCATGTATGCCCCTTCCTTTCGCCAGGAAGCTTTATTATGTGTGAATCTATGCAAGAAATGTACACAAACAGTCACCAAAATCATCTCTGCAAATACTGACATTATTTAAACTGTGCTATGTACATTGCACAGAGCTACACAGATAGGAGACTCCAGTTAAAAGGAGAAATTTTGCCAGTACTCTACTATGTGAGGTTATTGATGAGCCTTACAACTTTTATGTCTGCCGCATCTGGTTTCAGAAAGAGACAGAAGTGCAAAATTGGAAAGCATGCAAGAGGGAGAAGAAAGAAGGGCATAGACCTTTAATACAGGTGCTAGCTGTAGCTCGGGGATTTGGAAAGCAGAGGGAGCTCTGTGAGCAAGATCCCTTTTTTGAGGAAAAAGTAGCTTATTGCATCTTACAGGCAGCAAGGAGTAGAGATCCTGGTTAAATCTGATTATTGGCTAATGATAGAAGAGAACATAAAAAACAAGGGCTCAATCCTTTGTTTTCACTCGTTTCTGAGATCAGTCCTTTCCTTATGGTGCCTGCAAATGTGCAGAAGATCTTAGGCAGTCAAAATATCTACAATTCAGCAGACCTGCTGTCCACTACAATTAAAGTAACTTTATAAAAGGACCAGTTCCTTTATAAATACATTTCAAACATGCGCATTTAAACATAGTATTGAATACATCTGTGGATTTTTATCTACAAAATTTGTTTTTGTCTGTGATTTGCAAAGTAATGCACATCTTTATTATCAGTGAGATTATTATTGAAATGATCACTACCAGGTCATCCAAATGTCCTACTTAACATCCCAATAAAGTTAGGATATTCTCTTCCTCTTTGTAATATTTTTAGCACTTGGCTGAATGCAAGATCAACCAACTATCTGAGCAAGTTGAAAGAATAGTTAAGATTATTCCATCAATTCCGTTTTTAATGTTCTTATAAGAGAACTTTCCTTATGACTCTCAGTCACTTCTTTGCCACTCTGTTATTCTTGTAGTCTATAACTATATAGTATATAACTATAGCTTACAGATTCAAAATATATCCCCAAATATTTTGCTTTACCTTTGACAGTAGAATCTGAGTTGCTCTGCGCTTCAGAGAGGATTAAAATCAAAACGAAAAAAAAAAGTCTTTCTGCTGCTTAAATGACAGGATCTTGGAAACCACACTGATACCACGGTAGCTCAGCTTTTCTTGTCCAGGAAAACAAACAAACCAAGCAACCGACCAACCTATAATCAGCTTATCCCAAAGAGAACATCATCCTAAAGGCTGATTTTACTCAATTACACAAACAGTATACTCTCAGACTCTTGGAAATACGTTACACAAAAATACTCTGCTTACCTATTGTGTTCCTGGCCAGATGATCCCCAGACCAATCGCTTTCTTTGTCGAAAAAGCATAAAATAAAGCAACATAGACTTTTCAGATCTCTGTAGACAGATGAAAACCAAAACTGTGCAACCAGTTTAACAGGACCGAAGTGATTTTTCCATATGGCTCCTGAACAGACATAGTAACTAAAATGCTTGCAGGCGTTCAAGAAAAGAAGAAAAACCAGAGAGATTGGGTATTTTCTTAAGTGGCGTGTTTTCAAAGGTTATTTTAAACTTGCATAATTTTGAAATCTTCAAAGTCCCGGTTGTTGCTCTTTCAGTTCTAGAGTTCCTTCTGGAGGGCTGCGGAGCACATTGGAGCGTGCTGCCTCCAGACAGCAGGACTTTATTCCTGCACAGAGTGTCAGCCAGACTGTTAGAGCAGCCTAATCCCATCGGTGGCTGGCCGGAGAGCAGGTCTTTGACAGAAACACACAGCGAGGAGGAGGGGGTGAGATGGAGAGAGCAAACGCTGTTAACCCTTGTTAGCCCTTAGTACAAGCCAGCCAGGGACACGCAGATCTCCTCCGGAAAACTGGTTTTGCGTTAGCAGCTTGATGGCCCTTCCACGGAGCACACGATCGTCTTGCCCACAGAACTGCAGGAGTTTCAGATCGTTTCAGGTGTACCGTGTTTCTGGTGTGTTTTTCATGGCCCAACAGGTGCTGACTGGCTCACAGAAGGGAAGGCAGAAAAGCTGTAAGGAAGGGAACACTGCATTTTTATTAAGCAGACTGGAATTAGCAATCCTTTGAAGACTGTTAGGAATCTACTGAATAGAGCTGAGCAGATTTCTTGGCTCACGGAGGCTGCGTAAGAAAGAAAGTTCCAAAGTGTATGGGCTGGGGGAGTATATCTGGTGTGAACGTGTTGTGGCTGAGGGAGCAGGAAAAGGGTGCATGGGAAATGGCTCACAGCGAGCGCGAACAATTGCTTCTGCAGTTGAGGCTACAAAGCAGTTGTAGCAAAGCCATGGTCCTGAAAAGGCCTGCTCCTGCTGAGCAAGGGCAGGGTATGGCCAGGATTCATGTGCCTCTTGTACTTCTTGGCCTGGGATGTCAGGAAAGGAGCCCTGGGGTTGTCCCAGTGGGGAGGTGTACTCAGCTTCTTCAAGTCTGCTCAGAAAGGCAAGCTCCAGAAACCCACGTGAGCTTCCAGGCAGGCGCTTTGCAGGGGGCAAAGACAGAGTATAGTAGGGAGGCTAAGCCTTTTGTTTATTTATTTTAAAATAAAGTCTCTTGTTCAGTGTTTGAAGAGAGTGACTTGCAGTAACCCTTTGCCATTGTCCCCCTGGATTTAAAGATGTATTATTTAAGCCTTCCTAAGATGAAAAGTTTGTGAAGAAGAAGGGCAGGTGAGGGAGAAGTAGAAAGAGGCTTCAACAGATTCTGCGTAGCAGATCCTTATGAAAATATAAGTTTGCTTATCAACTGAGAAAATGGAAAGAAATATTTACAGTGTGTTTACTCCCACTGCGGAAGAGGGCAGGAATAATTATGATGTTGTTCATCAAAGGTTTGCTAAAAATTTACTTGCAGAAAAAATTTGCTGAGCAACTGGAGTTTTAAAAAAGGGACAGTGTGTGGGACCCTTAATATGGGCACTGTATGATCAGAGTATTGGCACTGTCGAGCTAGGAAATGACACTGCAAGATGTTTGCTAGACAACTAGCGAAAGTAAGGTAAATAGCAAATAGGATCTTTCAGACAAATTGGCATTCTGGTGTGAAATCCAGAACAGGTAATGTCTGGGTAACAGACATGGGAATTACTGAAAATATAAGCACCTAGCCAGAAGGAAACCATTCCCCTAATGAAAGAGAAGCATGAGAAAAGGGTGCTGCGAAGTCTCATGAGTTCCCAGAGCAGGCCTGGAAGAGGGAAATGTAGGTCAGATGAGGTGCATCAAAAAATGTGCACTGAAAACAGGCCACGAGAGAAAGGATATTGGCCATAGGGCCAATAGTAGGGACAATGTAGGGACTACAGTGTGTTTTTGCTGAGATTTGGAGGGACTCACAGGTGGAAGTAAGCAGGGGGAAACGTAAGGAAGTAACCAGTGTTACTAAGTAGGAAGATCTTTGGGCAGGGCTCTGGAGCAGACATTACTCATGTCTGGTAAAATCCTTAGTCAATACGGACACAGTAGACATGTTTGTTGTAGAAGGGATGGGCTCACTGTCTCATCCTCCCTGAACCTCCCCAATGCCATCAAGAGAAGCCATTACCAGGACATAATTCAGCTTTCAGGGAAGGCAGTGGGAGTCTTTCCATTGGCCATCATTTCAGCTGCGTTGAGCCAAATGTTTGAAGGAGTACTCTGTCTCCTGCTGAGTAACATGAGCAAGGATGTCAGGTGAAAGAGGCTGACAAGATGGTTTAAGTATGGAACTGGTCCAGTTCCTCTCACAGCAATTTCTTGCATACTTCCCACATGTGTGTGCTTACACGCTTTGCTGGAGCAGGATGCGTGCTCGTAGATTTAGAGGTTCACTGAAGCAGTATCAAAGGAAAAAATAATATTCTCTGTGGAGAAAGTTGAGCTAAATTCATGACTCATAGAGCTTGACTGAACTCGGTGGAGTTACAACAGGGATAAATCAAACCCTTGATTTGGCATAAAATTGATACAACAGGCTTCTCACTAGAAAAACGTAGTCTGTAATGAGCAGGCTCTGCTGTGCTTCAGAGCTGAATCAGTGACTTCAGGAGGGCTGTTCAAGAGATCCTACTTTTGTCCTATCCCTGCTGGCTATCGACGCCTTTCACAAATGCGAGAGATGACCACCTTTGATACCAGAGACTTGATTTAT